AAGAAGTCTTTCTCTGTAAGACTTCAGAGGTACCATGTTAATATTTGGTTGCCCTCAGTTAATAAATCAATTCTTTGTCGACAGTCACATTGCCAGATTTACTCTGTCCTTTCCAATTTTCTTGCCTTTTGTTTTCTTTTTCTCATCTAATGCACTGGGTAGGATATTGAATACAATTTCAAATAAAGTCAGTAAGAGCAGACATCTTGCCTTGTTCTCACTTGACTACTGCGCTACATCTCCAGCCCTTTTTACTTTACTTTTTGAGACAGGTTCTCATTAAGGTATTTAGAGCTTCAACCTCCCAAATTTCTAGGATTCCAGATGTGTGCCACTACTCATAGCTTGTACTTAGACTTTTGATATCTGTAACAATGTCTAATTTATAAATTGGGCACAACAAGAAATTGTTAATTACTAATAATGAAATGGAACAATTTTTACAATATAATATAATGAAAATTATGTGAATGTGGCCTCTCTAAATATGTTATGTAATATTTTCAGACTCCAGTTGACTGCAGGTAATAAACTGTAGAATGAGAAACTGAAGATAAGGAGGGAAATCTGTAATTTGTTTTTCATTGTGTCTGTTTGCTACTAAAACCATTAAATCAGTTGATTTCAGACACCTTGATTCATTTTTGTTCCATTTTTTTGTTAAGATTCTCCACATTTTCACCTGTTTCCCCCCATATTTTTTGCTCTTAATATTTTAATAATAATTTTAAAGTTGTTCTGTGCTAGCTACAGTATTAGAATCTTTCCTAAATCAGTTTTTCTTACTGTTTTTTTTTTCCCTCTAGTTTTGGTGACTTTTTCCTGCTTCATAAATTTTATATTTTTTGATGTGCTAGACATTGTAAACAAGAGAGTTGTAGAATCTAAGGGTATTACTTTTCCACCAGAGAGTATATAACCTTTTCTCTGTTAATTAGTTAGGGTATCTTAATCAGTTCAATCACTTCAAGGATTGTTCGAGTTGTGTTGGAGTTTTAGTTCACTTATTCTATCCCATTATTTTTCCTGATTGGTGGATTTTCTGGATTTTTCCTTTGTGCCCAACATATCTTTAATTCTTTTAAAAATTGTGAAACTCTCAGTTAAGTCTCTCAGTTGTTTAGACTTAGCTCTTTAGATTCTTTACTCTTCACAGCTTTAGAATATGGTAAATGTTATAAGGGAAGACCTGCTAGGTTTTTGTTGCAGTTAAATTTTACTCAATGGAACTTCGTCTCATAAGCACTCTTACTATTGCAAGTGTTTTCTGACCCCAGTCCCTTTCTTGGTATTGGCACTTTTGACAGAGGATGATGTTTTTCAAAGCTCTCCTCAGTGTTACTTAAATCTGGTAGATGTATTTTGTTTGTTTTTGTACTTTTATTAGTTGTTTTAAGTTACATGAACCTTAGTTTTTATTTTGGCATAATTATAAAAGCATGGAATATAATTTGCTTTAATTCAGTCTCTGATACCACCCCTTTTCCTCTCTCCTTCCTTCTTTTCTTCCCTGTTCCTTTCCTTCTATTCTGATCTGCTATTTATTTTTTTTTTTTAAAGTAGTGCCTTGTGGTTATACATAAAGTTGGGAAACACTGTGATATGTTCATATAGATACCTAGGTTAGACCAGATTCATTCCACTATTCTTCCCTTATCCTGTCCTCCTTCCCTCCCACTTAATCCCCTTCTTCTACTGCACTGATCTTTCTTTAATTTTGATGGAATTCCTCTTTCTTGTCTTTCCCTTTCTTCCTCCTTATTTTGGACTAGCTTCTGCATTTGGTAGATGTATTTTTAAGGGGAGGCCAGATATATGTTTGCCAATGGCCTTTTGATCTAGTGGGACTAGAATTCTTCTAGTGCCTAGACTATTCTTGTTGTTTTGGATTAATCTCTCAGCCTTCTGTTCCACCAAAGCACTCAAAAATGTGTTATTGAGAAGTCAGCTGAGTATTCCTCTAGATTTCCACTTCATTATACCAACTCAGATTTAATCAAAACTCTAGCGATTTTTCTTTCTGAGTGGAGTATGTCTGTTTATTACCAAATCCCTACCTAAAAGTATCAAAAATATGTCTCTCTAGCATGTTAATTAGCAATATGGTAATATTTCTCGATTGCTTCTATAGCTCTATGGCTTTTTTAAACTCTGATTTTTTGTAATGTATTCAGTTTTGTTTGTTGCAGTAGGAGTGATGGCCTGTGGCTGCCTATTTTACCCTGTTATGTACTTACTTGAAGTGGAAGTGTCCTTTTCAGATAACCTTTAATTTCTCTCTGTATTAATAGAATTCTTATATCTCTTATTAGACTTATTAAGAATTTGATATTTTTATGATACTGCATATGACTTTTTTTAGATTTTAATTTACTTTTCTGATAAGAAAAATTTAGTGACTTTTTAAAAATTTGATGTTTTATCTTTCCAGAATTTACTTATACTCTAAGCTGAATATAAATTATTTTGGATTTTCTGTGCACACATTGTATGAAATATGAAAAGAAATTATTCTTCCTTCTTTATTCATATACATCTATTTCTTTTTTCCTGCCTCCTGCAAATATTATTTATCTCCTTAACTAAAATACATGGTGAGAATTGGTATCCTTGTTTGCTCCGAACTTCACAGGGAACATTCTTAGTATTTTGCTATTAAATATGATGGTGCATAACTATTAAGTTTTATTAAATTCTATTTCTTCCTATGTTGGTATGGTCATAATGTGTTTTCTCCTTTATTGATGTGGTGAATCGCATTGATTGCTTTTTTTTTAATGTTAACTCTCCTTGTATTCCTCTGGTAAAACTATCTTGTATGAATTCGCTTACACACATCTGGGTGGATGTGTATACAGTAATAGAACAAGCAAGCACATAATACGCACACACAACATTTTGTTTGGGATTTTTACATTCTGTGTGCAAAAGAGATTGGTCAAGTTTTTTTCTTTTTTCACCATTATCCTTTTCAGTTAGTGTATATTAGGCACAGAGTAGAGATTAAAAATATTTTGTTTTTATGAATTTTTTCTCTTTTTAAACAGGGGATTGAACCTAGGTGAGCTTAAACACTAAGCCACATCCCCAGCCCTTTTTATTTTTATTTTGAGACAGGGTCTCACTAAGTTGCTGAAGCTATCCTCGAACTTGAAATCCTTCTACTTCAGCCTCCCAAGTCTCTGGAATTACAGGTGTGCACCACCATGCCCAGCTTGCTCTATTCTTAATATTGTTCTAATACTGTACAATATTATTCCCTCTTTTTGTACAGATTTTTAAAATTTTTTTGAATAATTTTAGATTTATAGAAAAGACACAAAATAGAGCCCTCTATAGCCTTTTCCTTGTTTTTTTTTTCTGTTAATATCTTACATTGTCATAGTATATTTGACAAAGGTAAGACACCAACATTTATATGTTGTTTTAACTAACTTGCAGGCTTTAATTACATTTCACCTGTTTGTCCATTAATTTTCTTTTTCTGTTCCAAAACCTCGTCTGGTAATGTCACATTCCATACTGTGGTTGCTGTGGTCTGAATGCCTGTGCCCTCTCTAAATTAGTATACTGAGCCCAGTCCTCTAAAGTAATGATTTAACAGGGGAACCTCTGAAATTAGGCTGTGATGGTGTTTCTTCAGTTTGAGTTAGCATTCTTACAAAAGAAACCCCAGAAAGCTGTCTGTTCTTTTCTTCTATGTTAGGACATGATGAGAAGGTGCCATCTATGAACCAAACAGAGTGTAGTCAGTAAGCACAAAATCTGTCATTGCCCTGGTCTTGGACTTTTCAGACTCTAGAACCATGAGCAATAAATTTCTGAAACCACATAGCATATGGGATTTTGTCACAGCAGTCCAGATGGAGATAGACAGTTGTTAATCTTAGCCACTTGTGGTATATGGTATTCTTCCTTGTTTTTCATGAACTTGGAAGTTTTGAGGAGTACTAGTGAGAAATTTTGTAGATAGCAGCTCCTGTTGGGTTTGGCTAATGTTTTTCTCTTGATTAAATTGTTTTTTATTTATTTTTTTTTTAGGTTTAGGGAAAGAATACTACAAAGATGAAATATGCTTCTCTTACATCATATGGAGAATATGATATCCACATATCATTACTGATGATGTTAACTTTGCTAAATTGGATAAGGCAATGTTTTGCTAGGTTTCTCCACTGTGAAGCTACTCTTAACATTCTCTTCTTTTGAAATCTAGTCACTAAATTCTGTCTGTACCCAAGGGGGAAGATAGAGTAAGCTTTTACCTCCTTTGGTTATTTGAAATTCTTAAGCAAAATTTGTCTGTTCTTCCTAGTTATTTATTCAATTGTTTATGTAATCTATTGTTTTAATATGAATTCTCTATAATCTTAATATATTTGCTATTGAAAACTTCTGATTCCCCTCTTCTCCCCCCTCTGCCCATTGACACATAAACCACTTGAGGGTAGGATCTGTTTCTTCTTCATCTTTGTATTCCTAGGCTTTTAGCATGATGCCCTAATCTTACAATTAAAAATAAATAAATGAATTATATTCACTTCAAATGAAAAGTTCCATTTCCTTTGTTAAATTACATAATGGCATTATAAATTAAGATTAGGTTTTAAAATAAAATTAAAGCCAGGCACGTTGGCACATGCCTGTAATACCAGCAGCTCAAGAGGCTGAGACAGGAGGATCATGGGTTCAAAGCCAGCCTCAGCAAATTAGTGAGGCCCTAAGCAACTTAGTGAGATCCTGTCTCTAAATAAAATATAAAAAAGGTCTGGGGATATGGCTCAGTGGTTAAGCACCCCTATATTTAATCCCTAGTACATATATATATATATATTTAATTAAAAACACACGTGATTACATTTTAACATGTATTTGATAAAGTGAATGGTATAACTACCTTAATAGCATTTGAGATTATTGTGTTCACAAAATATTTCTTGTAACTACTTAAATTTTCCTGACTAAGGATTTGACCTGCTATAATCCTCTTTTTTGTTCAGTTCACCAGAACAGAGTAAGACCTCGTTATTTGCCTCTGAAAAGTTATCATCTGATGCGGTCACTCAGATAACAACAGAAAGCCCAGAAAAGACCATGTTTTCATCTGAGATTTTTATTAATGCTGAAGATCATGGAAGTAAAATTCTAGAGCCACATACTAAAAATCCACTGAAAGGTCCTGTCAAGTTTGCTTCATCATCTTCAGTGCAACAAATTACTACTTCTCGTGGCACAGATGGTAAGAGAATATGATTGCATTGTAGGTCATTTTCTCAACTTTTACATGTGATTACCTTAGAAATTTATGATATTTGTCTTCCTGGTTCTTAAACTTAATTTTAATTTAAGAATTAGGAGCCACATGATTATTATATCCATCTTTTATTTATATAGCTTTGAAAAGAATATGATTTACTACTTTTTATTTTTTAAATCTTTCTTTCTTTTTTTAAAAGAATTGACACCAAAGACCATTGTTTATTATGGTTCTAGTTGAAGATAATTACAGACATTATATTCAAGTGAGCAAACAATTTTTTTTTGCAAACAAAATAGTAGTTTATTTTGTGCTTATAATCTGATTAAATTAACCTAGGTTGACTACTTAACCCGCTGTCTTTAAAATGTAGAACCTGAAGTTATTTTAGATTTGCCGTTATAGTCAACTGGAATGAATGAGCAAAAAAGCATGGAGCACATGTGGGAGGTTTTATAGGCAAAACCTAGAAATGTCCCAAATCACTTTCACTAGGAATATAATATAGCTGTATTTTTCAGGATGAAGAAGAAATGGATTTTGGAAAATAGCTAGCAGTCTATATCATAAGGTCTATATTTAGAGTGTTTTTGTGTGCTATGGTTTAAGTTATATTTAAGTATAAGTGATATTTTTATAGTGTTTATACTATATAACATTTAAAATTAAGTTATTAATTTAATTTAATAAAATTAAATTATTTCCCTTTTTAAGTATACAGTAGGAAATTTAAAAAAAATATTTACTTTTTAGTTGTAGTTGGACACAATTACTTTATTTCACTTATTTTTATGTGGTGCTGAGGATTGAACCCAGGGTCTCACACGTGCGAGGCGAGCGCTCTACTTCTGAGCTACAACCTCAGCCCAACAGTAGGAAAGTTAACATTTAAGTTTCCATTCTTCCTCATATGAAGGTTGGAACCTTACTAATTTTAAAATATTTAACATTTTAAATAAATCTACATAAAATATATTTTAAGTTTTCCTTCTAATGCAAAAAGCTTACCCATCTGCAACTATTGATAGAATATGCCTAAATTGGTTATAATTCTTAAATATTTTATTATGAAAGAAAACCATACCAAAACTGTGTAATTTAATCAATAATCTCGAAGAGTACCTTTCTGTGTCAGTTGCCTCTTGTCACAGTGATGCTGTATAACAAGCAACCTCAAATATCTTAGTGGCTTATAACAAACATTTGCTTTTCTCATACCTTGGCTTTGGGTCAGTTGGACTTTGGCTGGGCTTGGCCAGCAGAAATGGTTTGGGCGTGATCCAGGTGTTTCTAAGACCCAGGATACCCAGGTATGTTGCTCTCATGATGGTGGCAGAAACATGAGAGAGGAATCTCAGTTGTGAAAACTTATTTTACCTCTATATACATCCAGTGCATCCAGTGAATCAGTATATAGAGACCATGGTTAATGTTTTTTCTTTTTAATATTTATTTTTTAGTTGTAGTTGGACACAATACCTTTATTTTATTTATTTTTATGTGGTGCTGAGGATCAAACCAGGGCCTTGCACGTGCTTTTCCACTGAGCCACAACCCCAGCCCCATGGTTAATGTTTTTATATGCATTTATTCAAGGATTATCTTATTTAATTTACAAATCCAAATTTATTATTTTGAATACTGTGGGTCAAAATTTTAAAAATTGAGGCTTTTAAAAAAGCTCATTTAAAAAATGTACTTTAAAGTACAAAGAATTGTATTTTAAACCTATTACTTTTTACCTACTATGATTTAAAAGTTCAAAGCAATATACTATATGTTTATATTTTTCTATTTTCAAAATTTTAAAGGAATTTATTATTGAATTTTCTTCTTCACGTTTTTCCAGTTCTTTCTTTTATAGAGGTAAGCATTATTTGCTGAGTACTCACTTGTTCTCCCCAGGCACATGGTCCAAAGTAACCTTAAGACTGTTAGGGAGAGGGGAAGAATAGAAGTTCAGTAGATTAGACAAAGAGCAATGAAGGGAAGGGCGGGGGCAGGAAATAGGAAAGACTGTGGAATGAATCTGATTTAACTTTCCTATGTACATATATAAATACATCACAGTGATTCTCTACATCATATACAACCATAAGACTGGGATCCTAATTAGAATAAGATGTATTCCATGTTTCTATAAATTTGTCAAAATATATTCTACTGCTGGATATAATTAAAAACAACAACAACAATAAAAATGACTGTTGTATCCAGAGCTGGGGATGTGTACTCTGTGGTAGATTGCTTGCTTCACTTGCACAAGTCCCTGAGTTCACCCTCCACTAGGGGGATGGAGGTGTAGGGGACATGACACGTGGACCAGTTATATGTCTCAGAATCTTCTATCTCCATATAATAGCCATTGCACTATAGTTTTGCACAGTTAGCCATTACTATCAAGCTTTATGTACACTGGTGGAGAAAGAAAATGAATAAATCAGTATTCTAATAATAATAATGACTACAACAATAACCAATAGAATGGAGGCTGCAACCCTTTTTTAAGAAAAATTTTCCTGGGCTGGGGATGTGGCTCAAGCGGTAGAGCACTCGCCTGGCATGCGTGCGGCCCAGGTTCGATCCTCGGCACCACATACCAACAAAGATGTTGTGTCCGCCGAGAACTAAAAAATAAATATTAAAAA